ACCCAAAAAATGCACACACCAATAAAGGTGAGCTTATAACGCATCACAATGAAAAATATGATTAGTTTTGGAAGACCACTTAAATGTTAGATTATCTCAGACAATGTTTCCTTGATTAAATTCACTTTTTTATAACTTATTTAAATAATGGTTTTTTAAATGAATAATGGTAAAAAAAAAATTTATATTCACAAAGTACATCAAATACTCTATAAATCAGAAGGTAACCAGATTATTTTTTTAACAATGTTAGAGATAGAAGAAGGAAGCGGGATTGAAGAAGCAAAGTGTTAGAGACAGAAGAAGGAAGCGGGATTGAAGAAGGAAACCGAATCCCTTTGGGATTAGGTTTAGTATCTTTCCTAGTTGGATTATGTTTAGTATTTAGTATATTTCCTAGTTTGTTTAATTCTTATTTTAGTAGGAATAAGAATTTTCTTGTTTACTTTACCCTCTTTCTATATAAAGATGGTTAGATCTTTGTATTCAGAACCAGTTTCACAAGCCAATTCAATATAAAGGGGGTGTTAAGAGTATCCCACATCGAAAAAGTGTGAGGAAAATAATGGGTATATAAGCTCTTGAGTTGAACTAACTAATCGATTGGATTCAATCTTTTAATGTGGTTCAGCCCAAGTGTCTTATAGCCCAATCCTGTAATCTCTATCCAATCCTAAATTCTATCATGGCATCGAAGCAGGTTTTGGCCCACCTCGTTTGTCAAGGTGTCCGTCTAGACATTCATTCCTAGCGGCCCGTTAGTCTTTAGCCCAGTTGTCCGGTTAGATTCAAAATGGCCCGGTTGTCCACTTGAGGGGGAGTGTTAAGAGTATCCCACGTACATTGAAAAAGTGTGAGGAAAATAATCGGTATATAAGCTCTTGAGTTGAACTAACTAATCGATTGGATTCAATCTTTTAATGTGGTTCAGCCCAAGTGTCTTATAGCCCGATCTAGTAATCTCTATCCAATCCTAAATTCTATCAAACAAAAATCTAATAAAATCCTAAGAAAGTAGGTTCTATGGAGGGTGCGTGTACGCATACTTCAAATACTCCTATCAAAAGTCGTATCATCAGTTAGGCCCAAAAGTCACATGTTTTCTCTAATCACCTCCTTTTGATGATTCATATGTTTATCCTCTACAACTCCCACGCCTATGTCGTAAGCCTATCAGATCTTCACACCAAGGATTCAGCGCATCGTCGTTTCACATGCCCAAACCACCTTAACCTAATTTACTGCAATTTATCCTCCACAAGTGTCACTCTCACCCGTCCCTATATAACTTTTTTTCAGATTGTATCCAACCTCATCTACCTACACATTTAGTGCAACATCTATATTTTTGTTTAATGCAATTCAAGAACGTGAAATTTTGTTAACTACTCACCACTATGCTCTCTAAAGCATAGTCAGTCTTACTAGGAATTGGTAGAATTTCTCTTTCATACTTGTTGAAATATTCTTCTCGCAAAGGACCCACACAGCGAACGTTCACTTTTCCCAAGCGGCACCAATATGATGAACAACATCCTCGTCTATCTCCCCAAATGCGTAAATGACCGAACCAATGTACTAAAACTTGTCTCTATTATTAGGCTCTAGGTGTGAATTAATGATACTATACCTTTCAAATATGATCCCGTCACCCGGCTACTAAAGCAAGATTCCAAGCACTCAATCTTTGTTCTACTCAATCTGAAGTTTTTGAATTTCAGGGGACTGATGCTACAACTCCAACTTGTCATTGAGACCCTTGAAATTCAAAATTATGTTTTTAATTGATATGGACAAGTTTGATCTCAAACAGGAAGAAGGTTTTAGAAGTTCTGAATATGAAGAAATTTAAAAAAAATATGAAAAATAAGGGCACTGATTAAGCTGCTTACTGAGAAGAACACATGTGTGAAGATGACACTATAGGAGAAAATAAGTTTAGGTGGATTTGGCATTCTAGAGTGGAAAAATATAATTCGGTGTTTCAATTAATTACTAAGTTTCACACTGATAATTACTAGGCAGCTACGAATGAACAAAGTAAATAAGCGAGAATTGTGTGAGTTATGTTGTAAATTAAATGAATTTGAGAGCATTTATGTAAAATCTATAATTTTTTAGAGTATTTTTTTGTAAATTAAACCTTTCTAATATATGAACGGAGGAAATAGTAATTTTGAATAGAGTACTTCCAATTTTAATCTCTCTTATATAATGAGAAAACGAAATTATTAATACCCCTCTTTATGAAAAAACAAGCGAAATTTAAATATTATAAAAATTATTGGTTTGACTTTTATGTTGTTTAAGAAGAAATATTGAAAACTAAAAAAATGTATAGTTTATATTAGTTTTAGTTTTAGAATAAATGATTTTTTTGAGTTGCATGTTCATTTTTAAAGAAGAAAAATAAAAAAAAGTAAGAATAGTACTCCCTATTTGAAAACTTCAAAAGAGAGATAGCAAATTGTTTTGTGGGACATAGTACAAGACAGATCGAATAATTGTAAGGAAATTGTGCAAGAATTCCCCGATAGTTAGCACCTTGTATGTAACTTTTTCTAAGTTTATTGGTAGTGACAACAAATATATTATGTGTAACTTTTATATTTTATTTGATTATATACAATTTTATACTCCATGTAATTAGTCAAATGTTTACCACGTACAAAAAGCAAACTAAACAATTAAAATAGAAGAATGGATGCTAAGTAATGAGAAATACCTCATCTACCCCTCAAAAACGTTTCAAATTTTCTTTTTTCGTTCGTCTTTAGAAATATCTTATTCTTTATTTTTTCGCACTATTTTTAATCATATAATTTTATTTTTTATAATCTTGGTACTAAATTACTCTATTCGTCCAAAAATGTTCTTCCTGTTTGACTTTTCACGGTCTTCAAGATTGTACTTTGACTGCTAATATATTTACATATGAATAGATATATTTTATAAAAATTTGATATTTGAAAACTACATTTCAATAGAAATATACTAATATTAAAGTTATAGGCAAATAGTAATATAAAATGAGAAGAACATTTTCGTAGGAAAATACTTGTGGTGTAACATAAAATGTTTGTTAGGGGGGACATACAATTTGTGGTGTGAAGAGATGTGTGTGTGGACTAGGGAATTGACCTATGGTGTGTAGAAGTGGGGCCGGAAAGCGAGGGAAGCATGAGTGAGTGTTGTGTTGTGTTGTGTTGGGGTGGGAAATTTGTTGCGTTTGCGTTTGTTGAGTTGAGCAAGTCAAAGAAGCGCCGTCTGATTTCACAAAAGAGTCGTGTTGTTTTGTTTTGTTTTGTTTTTTTTGGATGAACGAATTCAATTGGGTTTGGGCCATACTTTTTTTATTTATCTCTACATTTTTTCTTGAGTAAAGCTCTCAACTGTTTTCCCATAATCCACTATTTTTATTATTCATATGATTATTATTATTATTATTATCTTCAAAATAAAATTACAAAATTTGTGATTTTTTATAATTCAGCACAAACGTTTTTCCAAAATAATATTACAAAAGTTGTGAAAATAGCACAAGAATTTATTTTTCCAAAATGTCACTTTTAGGGAGGGTAGGAACTGTCAATTTTACGAACAGGGCACCGAAGCACTCCCGGGTCATCCAATGACATTGCCCTCCAATGTCACTTGAACCTTCCCGTTTTTATATAATTCACTAAAAATATTTGTATTGAAAATTTTTTCTAGAGCGACACTTTTATTTGTTTTTTGTTATTCCACTTATATATTTTTTCAAAAACAGATATGCAATTTTTGAGCCATTATATTTTTAAAAGAGTGGGAAAAATCACTAACTAGAGCCATTATCTCACCCTTCATTTATTTGCACAAAACAAACATTTTCGATAGAAATCCGTTAAGTGACTGTTAGCTTAGAAACCCCACCTTTCATATATATACCGTGTAATAAATATATTAAGAAATCTTTGTGGGTTAGAGTAAAAAGAGTATGAAAATACCAAAATAGAAGTCTTAGGTTTTTAAGACCAATGCAAGAGTATGTGTTGACAATGTGATCAAAAGTGATGACAATATAATATGACAGTGCGATTTGTCAAACCTCATCGATCAGCGACTTACTCTGGGGCTAACGACGACGGATGATAATATGTCAGTTGTAGTGTAACAATGTGATGATTGTGACAATGTAAGAATGAGAGTGTAAATTCTTATTTTGATTTTAAAATATTTGAGACTCCTATTTTAGGATTTGCATAGTTTTTACTCTTACTTAGAGAATGGTCCGTAATATATTGAATAACAAGTTTAACAAGAAAGATTAAAACTAAAACTAAAATTCTTTTTATTAGAACAAAATGTACAAAAAGTTAAAGTATAATACAAATTTGAATTCCACTAACAAGAATTAATACATTTTTTGTTCAAAATTTTAAATAAATTACATGTTAGCTTATATAGTAGGAAGTGTGTCTATGATAAAAGATTGGAAAATGCTTGGTTCATAAATAAATAGTTACAAAAATCACAAATTTACTATTTATGAATTTCAATAAAAAGTAAAGTAGTCTAAAATAAATTTGAAATGAGAATTTAAACTACAAATGATAAATTTATAAATTTTGTGACATTTATATTTGTGAACCCAACATTGTTCTAAGAGATTATCCAATATTTACATTTGATTTCTTATTTGTTCACTAAATATAATTGTGATTGTAATCTCAATTTATTTTTATTTTTTTCAAATATTTTTTCTTTTTAAATTTCAGAACTAATATCATTTCTCACATGTTAATATTATTTGATTTTAAAATCTACTCCCTATATTTTAAACTAGGGTGGGGTTCTAGTGACACTGAAGAGTCGGAACTAACTAACTAATGGAACATTCCAAATTTAAACCAAAACTAAAGTGATAAAAATGGATTAAAATTTCCAACGTTTACCAGACTCACCCCCCTGCTTCAAATAACAATAACAAATCTGTCAAAGTCGCATCCCGTAGATCCTGGATCCCCGTCCGCCGTCGTAGATTCAGAAACCATGGCAGCTACCACCTTTACGCCACTGCCTAACCTCCGCCGCGGCCACATGCTTCTAACTGTTCCGATCTCCATTCTAATAATGCCTCACTGTTTCCAATTTTCCATACATTGCGAGTAGATGCTTAGAGAAGACATCTACGGATTAGAGGAAGCTCCCACTTTTAAATTCAAGATCTCCCAGAGGTTACTCACTCTCCAATTTATTTGAGTGATTGAACACATAATCCAGCTCCATTAGCAATGCGTTCCATTACTGTGCTGTGTTTCTCTGGCTTTGGGTTTTCCTTCAATTCGAATTATATGAGTTTATATTGCCATTTCTGCATTTCATAATCACAGAAAATCGTGTGAGCCAAAGCTGTTTGATGAATAGACACGGTGTATTAAGAATGTAAATGTCATAGCAAAAAACAACCTTTCTTTCATATGGAAAAAGACTGGAACTGTGAAGATGAAATGCATTTTTTTTAAATTAAAAAATAATCCTTCTTGAAACTGAGCTGGATCTATTGGAAATTGCCTCTCCGCCATTCACGTATGGAGGTAAGATCTGCATACATTTTGCCTCCCCGACCTGACTTGCGGGACTAACCTGGTTTGTTGTTGTCATATACTCCCTCCGCCCCAAAATGATTTCTCTTTACTATTACAGCCTCTCTATAACTTCCGTTTGTTTGCATGTTTCCATTGATCAGTGTTAAGAGTATCCCACATCGGAAAAGTGTGAGGAAAATAATCGGTATATAAGCTCTTGAGTTGAACTAACTAATCGATTGGATTCAATCTTTTAATGTGGTTCAACCCAAGTGTCTTATTGCACAATCCAATTGTCCATACACATCCTAAATTCTACGGAGTATCATGGTATCGGAGCAGGTTTTGGCCCACCTCGTTTGTCATGGTGTCCGTCTAGACGTTCATTCCTAGCGGCCCGTTAGTCTTTAGCCCAGTTGTCCGTATGGAGTATGTATCCAATGGCCTGTGGCCCGTTTAACCCGATTGCACGTCTGGAAGTCCATACCCAGCGGCTCGTGGTCCTTTAGGTGTTGGCGCTCAAAAAAAAATCAAGGGGATGGGAGTCTATTTGCAAGTGGTCAACCGGTTAGATTCAAAATGGCCCGGTCGTCCACTTGAGGGGGAGTGTTAAGAGTATCCCACATCGGAAAAGTGTGAGGAAAATAATCGGTATATAAGCTCTTGAGTTGAACTAACTAATCGATTGGATTCAATCTTTTAATGTGGTTCAACCCAAGTGTCTTATTGCACAATCCAATTGTCCATACACATCCTAAATTCTACGGAGTATCAATCAGTTGATAGAATAAAATATTCTTGTCATCTCTTGTTTTGTAGAACTTTTGATGATGTTTTTAAGCATGTAAGTTATATTTTTTTAATTCTATACCAATTTGTAAATAAAATAATATTAAAAGTCACGAGATTTTGCACGAACTTCTTTTAGGGACGGAGGGAGTATTTCTTGAGAAACCTTTCCTTAGGAGAATTTGTATTCATATATTTCTTGTTTCTTGATTGATGTTTAACCAATGTTTTTGGGATGAAGATTTCCTTTCTGCTTTCAATGTTGAACTGCAAATATTTTTCTCTTGTTCAATTTTTAATTTTTGATTTACTGTGGGCTGATCAATTTTATTGAAAAAAAAGGTTGTTTCCATTATGGATTCCAGAACAACCACTCCATCTCATCCACTATCCAATAGTGCTTCTGAAGTTCAACCTTCCAAATCAATTCTTTCTGAGAAAGATAACCCTTCAGACAACATATCTTCTGTGACATCTACATCAGGACAACTACCTTCTTTGTCCAAAAACTCAGTTGGTCCACTGCCTGTACCACCTTATGGAAAACAGGATTTGGAGACTGGAAATGATGGGTGGTCGTCCTTTTCACGCCTTGCCAGTGGATTGGGATTGCAGTTCTCTTCTAAAGCGTCCTCGTCAAATGAGAGCACTGGAGACAGCTCAGCTAATGCCCAGTCAGGTGTTTTGGAATCAATTACTAAAGGATTGGTTGACTCATCCATGAATGCAGTGAAGGCTGTGCAAGTTAAGGCACGCCATATTGTCTCCCAGAATAAGAGAAGATACCAGGTTTGCAAACATGTTTCTTCATTTTTACTGCCACATTTGTTTAGCCTGATTATAAAGAGATGCAATTCTCTCATTTCTTGTAGTCAAGGAGTCACACACCCTTAACAATGGCATCTGTTTAACTAATAAGAAGTTCCTGAAAGTCCTTACGATTTAACTGATGACTCGGTTTTGTGTGGTGTGCACTTTTACCAAACTGAAAACTATGGTTATTGATTACCGGGTGTCCAAAACTTGTTGTTTATTGGTCTAAATAAGCCAAAGAGTTTGTACAATCTAGAACCTGAATTGATATTTTATGATCATGTAAAAAATGATCTTTCAATAACAAAATGGTTAAGTATTAGGAAATGAGAAGATAAAACTTCATTTCCAATATTATGCTTAGGGCCTAAAAAGCTGATGACACAGTTATTGTTAAGAAAAATCAAAGTGGAAAGTGAACACAAGATACCATGGGACAAGAGTTGATGATAAATCATACTACGAATATGAGTATAAATTTATTGAGATTTGATGCAAAACATGCTGCCCTAAAGCCTTTATTTCCACCTATTATGTGGATAAGGATAACGGTAACAAGCCCCCCTAGACCCTACTGTACTGGGATTCAACTGGGTTGTTGTTGTTGATAACTGTAATAAGCCTTGAGATTAACAAGTTTTTTACTTGCTGCACAGTTGGTCATAGATTACTTAGTTATGCTTTTCACGTGCTCAGTAACTATTTATAAGACTTGGGACATCCTTTTGTTGATAAACAAATTATTAATGCAATATCTTAGAAACATAATTTGAATTCAAAGGTTCGTTCATTTCATAAAGAGGTGGCATCAGTTCAATCTCAATGCTTGATGCAATGAAGCTCTTTGTCAAGTTTTCATGAAATTACTCATGCACTTGTGCCGAGTTTAAACATGATTAGGAAAATTCCACTGACCGCTTCCGTTGTGTTATAACTGACTTGTTGAGGGTGGAATTGGGGGCCTAGAGTCCATTCCCTTGTCACCTTTTACATTTCTTCTAGGTTTTACTTTACTCAATTCTCTTGTTCACGTTAACCAACACCTAGAGTTATTACTCCCTTTGTCCCTATTTAGTATTCCCTTTTTGAGTTGTGATGTTTGGCTGAGGTTATTTGCAACTCAATTTATTTAAATATTGATGAAAACTTTCCAACTGGGTTGTTGTTGTTGACTTGTTGTGTTGATTGATGAAAAATTTAAAAATAACAACAAAAATCTACTAAAATTCCACAAAAAGTAAGGTCTGTGGAGGATGAATGTGCGCAGACCTTATCCTACTTGGAAGTAGAGAGGCTCTTTCCAAGACAATTATAGAGCTCAAATGCAAAAGTAGCGGCAAGCAAATCACATTAGCAGTAACTAAGTATGAGTAGAGACTAGAGAGTGGAAAGTAAATAGTAAAGAGTAAAGAGAGAGAAGAAGTTCACATACCGTCTCAAACAACAAGATCCAAAGCCTACAAGAACAGGAGGACTAAGGCATAACCTAAGGCCAAAAATTAAGCTGCAGGCATAAAATAAGCAGGGGAAAAAGATACATGTGAATACGGACAATTAGAAAGGGATGGAGGGAGTATATGACTTCTCAGGAGTGAAATACTATCTAACTTTTTAATTGGTGTTGTTACACTTGAGTAATACTCCCTTCTTCCTGCAATAATGTTCCACTTTGACTTTTTCTGGTTGAAATTGAAAAGCTTTGACCATAGAATTTGAAATGTACTTATTGATTAATGATGTAAATTCAATATCATATGATTTGTCTTGAAATATATTTTTGAAGTATCATATTTTTTATAAAATTTATTAACATATAAATGTACATTTTGATGGTCAAAGTGTCGCATTTGAAGACCAAAAAAGGTCAAAGTGGAAAACTAATATGGGACGGGGGGAGTATATATTTGATCTAATTTTCCAGATGGAGTTAATTGCATCTGATTGAGTTTTTCTTTTTTATATATTAATATAACTATTGATGTGTTGGGTTTGGTGGTATGTAATGGGAGTGCTTCTACATGAATTTAGGAGGGTGGATTTGATTTGGATATGACTTACATAACTGAGAATATTATTGCTATGGGATTTCCAGCGGGCGACATGAGCTCTGGATTTTTTGGATATGTAGAGGTAAAACTCCTTTAGCTTTTATTTAAATGCAATAGTGTGGATTATCATTTTCTCTCTGAGCCTCGGAGAAATGTTGCAGGGCTTCTATCGAAATCACATGGAGGAAGTGATCAAGTTTTTTGAAACACACCATAAGGTACTTCAGAATTAAAGTTAGGGATTCGTTCATTTATTTGAGTTTGTCTACTCCATACTTATAGAATTATAGGCCATGCTTGAATAAAGGAAACAGCCCTTAAACCGGGGTCTTTTAGGGGTAAGATTTGCCTACACCCACATCTAATTCATGGGATTCTACTAGGCTTCTGTTGTTGTTGGCTAAAGGAAAGGACAACTTTTTTTTTAATTAAATTTTTTTATTCTAAGAATAGGCAATGGCTGGCAAGAGGAAAGACAGGTAAAGTGCCTAATGTTGTGAAATTAGAAACTTTAGAACTCCTAAATTGGGACCTAAGCACTTGACCTGTTGGCTTTACGATGGGCACTCACCATTTGTTAAGTATGTGTTCCACTGTTGGCTGATAGAAATGTCAAAATGGAAAGAGGAAATAACGTGGCAATCTTTAGTGAAGACACTTAATTCTTGCTTTAATTGTTATGTTGTTATGGAGTATTTCATTGCATGATGTATTTTTTCTGAGAGAAACCATCAAATTTTCAATCTTTTGTAGTTCAAAATTGGGTGTATCATTTATCTTTCATACCTTTGTTGGTTTAATTTTCAGATGTTACTTGTGCAGTCAGTCTGCTACTACTTTCCATTGCAAAGTTAATCTTTTACCTTTTATATAATTCAGGGAAAATACAAAGTTTACAATTTGTGCTCAGAACGGTTGTACAATGCTTCGCTATTTGAAGGAAAGGTACTAGTTACTTCATTGAAAGCAATGTTACTTTACCATCTTTTAGTCTAGTTTCAAACAGAAGATATATCATGATCATATACTCCCTCCGTCCAGTTTCAATGTTCCCGCTTTGACGAGGCACGGAGTTTAATAAAAGTTGAATGCATTGACTCCACGCCCCCACCAATGAAAGCTGTACCTAGCATTGTCGTCAAGTCGTCGCCTAGTCAACGACTAGTCCCCGACTAGTCGTCCAGGCATTTTCTGAATGGCGACTTGCACATCGACTAGCGACTAGGGTAGACTAGGCGACTGGGTGAGTTAAGCGACGCCTAGGCAACGACTAGTCTGTGAAGAAAACCTTCTCAATTTGACCCAACCCGACCCAAATTCATTAAATTTTAAGAATTACTCGATAAAACATAGTCTCCCTTGATCGGTTCAATCAGCACAATCGAAATCCAGTGAATCGACATTTAACCCTTCCCAAATCGCGACATCTCCTTCATCGAAATCTTCCTGGGTTCCAGCAGTTCTTGGATCATTTTTTTGGAATTGAATCTTCTTCATCTTCTAGGGTTCACACGCTCTCTATCCATGAGTAAGATCTCTCTATCTTTGATAATTTATCACTAAAGTGTGCTCTTAATTTGGTTTGATTTTTTTTATTTTGGTTCATTAAACTACTAAAGTATATTTTACTCTTAATTTTTCAGTTTTCTTCAGTTTTACTAATTTTTCACTGACTTTATGTGCTACTTTTAAACATAAATTTGTTTTGGTAATGATATTTTGTCATATAAATATATATAGTTATATATAGTTATCGTGGGTGAATGTAGATATATATAATGTTAAAAATATCAATACTAATTGTGAATTGCCAACTAGGTAGTCAACTAGTAGGCCGACTAGTCCACTAGTCTCCCCTTCACTAAGAGCATGGGCAATGGCAAGTAAGAAATTGGATGCCACATGATGACGTGGAGTATTTTAGCCAATCAAAACAAGTCCAGTCAGCGTGTGGTACATGAGTGGAGTGGCATGTCTTGCAGTGGCAAGTCACTCTTTTTATGATTTTTACACCTTTTTAATATATTTTAATTATTAAAAATTAATTTACTTACCTTTTTAAATAAAAATAATTGTAATCTTTTTTTGGCAATGTTAACATTTTGACATATTTTAATTAGTCCATGTATGTTTTTTTATTATAAATTATTGCATTTTCTTGTAAAGATTTTAATTGCACAAAGAGATAATTAAAATTTTAAATTAAATTATATAATTTCACATAAAACATTAATGTCAAAAAATGAATTTTTTTTAGTCTCAAATAAAGGTTAGATTGTTTTGAAAAAGAAAATAAATTGTAAAGAAAAAAAGAAAGACAACTAAAAAAGGATTAAGTTATTTTTACAGAGTAAGATTAAAAAGCAGAAAAAACAAAAAATTTAAAAATGGAAAAAAATGCCTCTAATCCCCTTTACTTGCCTCTAAAAAAAATTAAATAAAAAACTTTCTTTTACAAAAAATAAACAAAAAAAGAAAACATGGCTCGCACTTGCCATGACTTGGAAGTTGCCTTGCTATGGTTTGCCATGGAAAAAGAGGAATTTGGATGATGTGGCATGCCTGGCAGTGGCTTTGACACGCCACTGCCCATGCTCTAACTCGACTCAACTTCCCGACTTAACAACCATTGACTACCTAGCCAGAAAATTACTCACGGGTGACGCGAGTTTTATTGAAATAACTCTCAGGTCCCTTTATTTTTCAAGAAGACAACAGAGGTCTTTACATTTTGTTGTAATGACTGGAAGGGGACATTTCATCTAATATTTCATCTATAAACGTTAATAAATGTATTTTTTTTCTATTCTTTTCTAAATGTTTTAAGGTAATAAATCTTAGATCGCTCCTTTTTTTATTTCTTTGTTTTTCTTTCATTTTGTTACTATTTTTTAAAGTGTTATTTTAGAATTTCTTCTATAAAATTGTATAAAAATTCAAAATTGTTTGTATTATATTTAAAAAAATTTTAAAAAAAGAAAAAACAAGGTAATGGCAAAATAGGAAAAAATGGTATTAGAAAAATAGGAAAAAAATACATTTATCAACACTTACGGATGATGTATTGGATGAAATGTCCCCTCTCAGTCATTACAACAAAATATAAGGACCTCGGTTGTCTTTTTAAAAATAGAGGGACCTGAAAGTTATTTAGACAAAACTCGGGTCACCCGCGAGTAATTTTCTGCTACCTAGCCCAGCCCAAAATCTTGCCGCCCAACGTCGTCTCCATAACCGGCAAGAGAGAAATTCCGGCTACCCAAAAAGGAATTTCCGACCAACCTCATCATTCTAGACTTCTGGCGGGCAACCTTTTGGACACAAATTGACTGCTCTAGGGTGGAAGAATCGAAGAAAATCTGAAGAAGATGAAAAGGATTTGAAGAACAAGACTTGAAGAAGAAGCAAATCCTTCTTCGACGCTGACCTCCTTCACCTGAATCAAACTTCTCAGATTTAACGGAGATATGAACGATCCGATGACCTCTGAATAGTAGGGTTGGGCAAGACGATGATGGACAAGAAAGAAAAAAAGAAAGAAGAAGAGATGAAAATGGAGTGGGTGACGGGACCAAATCAGAAGGGGGAGAAGAAGAAAAGAGAGAAGAAGGAGAAGAAGAAGAAGAAGAAACAAGAAAAATGGGTGGGTTGATAAAATCGGAAGAGGGGGGGGGAGAAGAATAGAAAGAAGAAGAAGGAAAGAGAGAAGAAGAAAGAAAGAAAAAGAAAAGAAAAAGAGATAAAAATGGGTGGTTGGACGGAAGGGAGAAGAAGAAAGAGAGAAGAAAAAAGAAAGGAAAAAAAGAGAAGGAAAATGGGTAGGTGGGTGTTGGATCGAATTGGGAGGAAGAAGAAAAATAAAAAGGAGAGGTAGTTAAGTCTTTTTAAACGGGAAGATTATTTGTGGACGGATTGAGAAGGAAAGTGGGTAGATTTAAGTTGGACTGACTTGGATGGAGGGAGTAATATTTTTGTTTTCATAGTCTTCCTCCCACAGTGCCATGTTTATGCATAGTGAACCACTAAAAGACAAGTACAGAAAATTTAGCATGGCTGCTAGCTATTATATTACCTAGGGTTTTACAGCACCCCATGTCCCCATCTGATGAATTGTCATTGACTAATTGCTGTGTGTAATATTAGAAATTTTTGTTTCTCAGGAATAAAACTATAGCTAACTAATGAGGAATGTACCTAGTTTTTTGTTTTTTAATGAAGAAGCTTAATGCATGGAGTAGATTTCAAGTTTACTCCATTAGTGAGATATTATCATAACAGAATGAAACAATTACTTTCTACATTTTCCAATGAACTGTAACATTGTGGGGTGGGGGGCATGGAACATACTCCTGCAGAATGGAAAACAAAGAGATGCAATTTATTCACTTTAATTTCTTCCTGTTTTATTGATTGATTTGTCATGGATTATGACCAGGTTGCATCATTCCCATTTGATGACCACAATTGCCCCCCTATTCATCTCATCAAACTGTTCTGCCAAAGTGCTTACTCGTGGCTGAAGGAGGACATTGTTAACGTGGTAGTCATTCACTGTAAAGCTGGCAAGGCAAGGACTGGATTAATGATTTGTAGCCTTCTTCTTTTTTTGAAGGTAGGGTATTATTCCATGTGAAATGCTGATGTTCATTGCTATGGTGAAGTTTGTTGATCATCTTTGCTGTTTCACCGTGTTATAGTTTTTCACAACAGCTGAGGAATGCATTGATTACTATAACCAAAAAAGATGCGTAGATGGCAAGGGTCTCATCCTTCCAAGCCAGATTGTGAGTCAATGCTCTTACAGACAATCATATTTTGCTCACATGTTTTTTATATACAATTATGCTTCTAGTTGTCATTATTTGTGTTTTCCAGAGGTACGTGAAATACTTTGAACGCATCCTGGCACACTTCAATGGTGAAACCCCGCCAGGACGTAGGTACTCTTTTTAAAATGATACGGAGTAATAATAATTATAGTAGTAATAATACTAATAATACTAATGAAGAGGATGATGATGATGATGATGATGATGATGATGATAATGCTCTGTAAGAGTATTGGTAAAAATTGGGGAAGGCATTTATTTTGTTTATATTACATGTTGCTGCAGGTGCATGCTGCGAGGATTTCGGTTACACAAGTGTCCCTATTGGATCAGGCCTTCAATTACTATATATAATCACAGTGGTATGCTATCTAGATTTGAGAATTATCTACTCCCTCTGGTTCATAAGTACAGTTTTAGAATGATTTTGTGCAGATTAGGAGCTATACAAAATATAGAAAAACTTGACAATATTGCCCCTTCCAAACATTTCATTATCAGTGAAGATAAACTGTACATAAGGGTCCTAAAAAGGGAAAAAATAAAAGAAAACATAAAGGGTGATAATGTCTAGGTTTAATAAAACGAACCATCATGACACAAAAATTTCTCTAAAAAATGGAACTTATTGTAGATGAAAGGGAGCTACTTAATTTGCGCATGCACTACAAATACCCAGCTTTTTCTGGTTTTTTTTAGAAATGAATATTGCTTTGCAATCCCTAAACCCTACTTTTGTGGGATCCTACTGGGTTGTTGAATATTGCTTTGCATGTTATCGAGTAAAATTCAACACAAATCTGATCTCATAGGTAGACTGCATGCATTGTCCCCTATTGTCATTATAATGTCATATATATAGGCATATCAATTTGAACAAAATGATTTCAACATTTCTATTTCACATTTGCATCTCACAGGAGTCCTGTTTACAACAAAAAAACACCCAAAAACCAAGGACTTGATGGTAATCTTCTTCTACAACTACTCTCTGCAGAATTTTGCTTATATGGGAAAGTTTGGATTCAGTTTTAGTTCTTATGTGGCTATATTAAACTTACTACATATGTGCATTTATTATCCTTACATGTAGCCAGAAGATTTTTGGATCCGTGCGCCAAGAAAAGGAATTGTGGTTTTTGCTCTACCAGGGGAACCAGGTCTAACTGAGCTGGTCGGAGACTTCAAAGTTCATTTTCATGACCGTCACGGAGATTTTTACTGGTCTGCAATCTATATTCGTTATTCCATTTTCACCTAGACAGGCACTTTTTTTTTTCTTTATGGGGTTTTGCATTTCATGTCATGGAGAACATAGTATTCCATCTCTCTCAAAATAAACAACACATTTTTGTTTTTGATTTGTCCCAAAATAAAAGTACATTTCAAATTTCTGGTAAAGAATACGGAGTACTCTGTATGTGGCAACATCATTATTTGTGTCTTTCTAATAAATTCTTGACAATACATTTCACCTTTTCAACAGTTTCTTACATTATCCTTGGTTCAAGGAGTTTGAAAGGGAAAAGAAGATAAAATGATAGGGGAAAATACTTGTTCTTGTTTGGTTAGAGAGGAAAATAAAGAAAGGTGTAAAGAAATGAAAACGAAAAAAACAAATGAACTAAAAAGAGGAAAAGGAACTTTCCTTCCATTTTGGCAAAGAAAAGGAGAGAAACTATTTTCTTTTCCCTTTTTTCCGAATTACACGAACCAAAGAAAGGGCAAGAGGATACTGAAATATGATTAATGACTTCACATTTTTTACTTATACGGCATAAATAGATTTCCAAGTCTTTATTTTACACACACACACACACACACACACACACACATATATATATAGACATGCGCACACACGTCACACAGAGTTAGAAGTTAGGACAAATCTCAAAGATTTGTCCTAACTTCAGCTGTATAATATATATTGACTTTGAACAATGCAGTACACCAGTACACTTGTTTGCTCATTGCTAATCTCTTTTCTTTTATTTATTCAGCTGGCTAAACACATCAATGATGGAGAATAGAATTATTTTAGATGCCTCACAACTTGATGGATTTGATAAGGTAACTGCTTTCTTGTGTACATGCATCTGTCTTCACTCAGGTTTACCCAGTTCTTTTTTTTAGCCCACACAAGTTCACTAGATTCACTTTAAATTCAACCAAACCAAACCGAGCCTAAGTAACCATCACAGCATAATCTCTTGTATGACTAAAACATTTGCAGAGGAAGTTGCCTTCCCCTGGATTTGAAGTTGAGATTGTGATGATAGACTACGATGGAACTGTCCCAGCAACAAAACACAACCCAGAAAGCAGTGCAGCAAACAAGACAACTGATGATGACACCAATGAGATAGATCCTACAGCCATTTTTGGAGTAATGTTTTGACAATGGCTCGTTGTTCCTTAATGGCTTAAGGAATTTGACGGGGGGGAATGTCAAGAATAATTTTTCTTGTTTGGTTACAGAAGGATGAAAAATGGGAGGAAAAAAAGAAGATGAGAAGAAAAAAATACACTCCTTCCGTCCAAGTTTGTTTTTTCAATACACTATTCACAGGATCAAACTTGTTATACTTGTTAACTTATTTTCACTACTTGTTTCATAAAATATTATATTGATGTCATTTCTTGTCTTGTGTCTATATATATATATATATATATATATATATATATATATATATATATATATATATATATTCGGAGTATGTTGATTATTAGGTGGTGCTGATGCTAATGTAAAATACTCCCTAATAATTTTCTCATTGCGCGTTATGATTTTTGGTGAAAGTTATTTTTAAATCATTTTATATGAAAAATAGTACTCACTCCATCTCTAAAAGATTTGCTATAGTATGACTTTTTTGTCAAACCGTGGCACTTTTTGATTATATTTAATTTATGGTCAAATGGAGTCACAGTTTGACCAAAAAAGTCAAATTGTGGCAATCTTTTAGTGATCTACAGACGGAGTATAGAATTATATTTAAAAATTACATATTTAAAAATTACATCAAAGATGTACAAAACTAAATGTGATATTATTATATTATTTTATCAAATGGACATCGAAAATAAACTAAGAAAATGAATAAACTTTGAATATGTGAATAATAAATGAGAAGATTTTTTTTGGAGGGAGGAGTATAATGCTTGCAAGTAATTAACATGGTAATGAAGTGTAACGTGCTAACTAACGTGTAGTGTATAGGGAGTAATAAGGGGTTACGTTGGCTTTGTCCGTTTCACAAATTGCCAAACAATGATAACTGTCGAACCGGGACACTGACAGTGACAACGCCCTAACTAAGGGCACTCATAGGGGGACGATTTTGATCCCAAAAAATTGCTGCTGGGTACTCCTTATTTTGGGATAAAGACTGGCAGGTCCCATTGTTTTTCAAAATATATTCCGAGGTACCTTAAGATATTCGAAAACTGACTTCGGGGTGACAATCAGTCATTCTCTCCGTTAATATTTCTTCTCCGTTATCCTCCTCCTCCTCCTCCCAAAAAATTGCTGCCAGGTACCCCTTATTTTGGGATAAAGACTGGCAGGTCCCATTTTTTTAAAAATCTTACTCATAGGGATTTAAAATATCCTTTGTTCAAAATATTACTTTATCGAATTAATATACAATATATGTTTTATTTAATAATAGGTCAAAAATTAAAAACAGTTGATTGAAAAAAGTCAAAACGTGACATATGCTCCGAGACAGAGATAATATTATGTACTCCCTCCGTCCTAATTCTTTCATCCCAGTTTGACTTTTCCTCATTTTAATTTTTTGCTTTGACTTCAAATTTTACCCTCCTTAAAAAAGATTTTTTGAATTTTTTTTTGCAATCATTCAAAATATAGAGCTAAAAGAGGGAGTATTTCCTATTATTTCCTTAATTATTATTAGAAATTAATTGTAGAGTAGTAATTTTATTACTCTATTTTTAAGAAATACGGAGTAACAACCATTATTATTTAGAAAAATAGTACTCTGCATTAGTCAATTTGATACCCTCATGTATTTACACCAATTATCTTCTAGCTTTATATTTTGAATGATTGCAAAAAAAATTCAAAAAATCTTTTTTAAGGAGGGTAAAATTTGAAGTCAAAGCCAAAAATTAAAAATGGGGAAAAGTCAAAATGGGATGAAAGAATTAGGACGGAGGGAGTACATAATATTATCTCTGTCTCGGAGCATATGTCACGTTTTGACTTTTTTCAATCAACTGTTTTTAATTTTTGACCTATTATTAAATAAAACATATATTGTATATTAATTCGATAAAGTAATATTTTGAACAAAGGATATTTTAAATCCCTATGAGTAAGTTTTTTTAAAAAAAATGGGACCTGCCAGTCTTTATCCCAAAATAAGGGGTACCTGGCAGCAATTTTTTGGGAGGAGGAGGAGGAGGAGGATAACGGAGAAGAAATATTAACGGAGGGAGTGACGGATTGTCACCCCGGAGTCAGTTTTCGAATATCTTAAGGTACCTCGGAGTATATTTTGAAAAACAATGGGACCTGCCAGTCTTTATCCCAAAATAAGGGGTACCCAGCAGCAATTTTTTGATTTTGATCCTCCTATAACTTACGTATATTACACTTTATTTTTTTAAAAACTTTTACTCCCTCTCGTCCCCAATTTGATTACAAATTATAGGTTACGGAATAAAATTTTCTAATTTTGAAATTATTTTATTTACAAATTGGTATATCAATAAGATATAAAAATTACATATTAAAAAACTACGTCAAAAGTTCTACAAAACAAGAGGTGACAAGAACATTTTATTTTATCAAATACTTAATGAAATCGCGTAAACAAACAAAAGTTATCGAGAGGAGAGAGAAAAAAAATTGTAATCTATTTAGGGACGGAGGAGTAATACACTTTTCTTAAAACTAAATAAATAAAATTTGATTAATTAATTGAATTTAAATGATAATAAATTATTAAATAAAAAAATATATTAATAAAAAATTTAAGGTAAATTATATTTAGTCTTTATCTCGTTTTGATTTCTCACATAAATTAAAGGTAATGTCATATATGCATGTATTATTCTTCATATTATGATTATAGAGAACAATGGGTTTGGAATTTTTCATTACAACTCAAGTGAGGAGATGTCTACATACGAAAAAGTCGACAAAGAAAAGAAACGAAAAAACCGCCAAGAAATTCGAAGCCGAACGATTCACTATGCTTTAATTGTGGATCTGATTGAACATGTTTTTAGTCGCTCAAATAATCAGTAGTTTCTTCGTAATGTAATGTAATTTTTAATTTTTTTAATTATGTTGCTATTATTAAAACCTTTTTTATTAATGTAATGTTTTATTTAATGAATTATTGTCATTTAAATTTAATTAATTAATGAATTCTTATTAATTTAGTTTTACAATATGTATATTAAAAAAATTTAAAAAATAAAGGTTTGAAGTCCATATTTGAAGCCCCAAGGCTTCAAACTTATTTTCAGTGGCAAAGAGAAGATTTGAAACCCCAGGGCTTCCTTTGTCAAGCTAACGTCGTACGTTTACCAAAGACGACGACTCCGCCGTTGCGGCTGTTAGGCTTCGTTTGGTACACGAAATTTAAACTCTGGAATTGGAATTGGGGCAATAATTCCAATTCTGGTGTTTGGTAACACAAAAATATGTAGATTTGGAATTGGTAGTGCCAAAAATGAATTAAAATTGAAGAATTCAATTCCATCAAATCAATTCCATATTGAAGATTTCAATTCTATCAGAATGAATTCTATAGAATTTCAATTTCCAATTCAATTTCAAATCCATCAATTTCGTGTACCAAATAGACCCTTAAGGTAATGAATATTCCGATCTCTCCCTTGCCTCGCGTCAAAGTTCTCTGGTTTTGACTTTTGAGTAGTTTGAGTGAGGTGTACTTTATTGTTTGAACTTCCAAAAATGCCTTTAAGGTTTCTTTTTAAAATGATGTTTCATATTAATGAATAGTTAAGAAAAATGTCAAGGAGTAATTAAAAACAAAAAAGTAAGACGAGATGTGACAGATGTGATGTGAGAAGGTAGGTGCCTAGTTAGTAATATACGGCTGGTGTATAATATGTCAATACGTACATACGTGTATAATACGTTTGGATTTTATAAAATACGGCTTACTATGCATATTAAGCGTTCGGCATACGGATATATACGCGTTTTAAACGTTTTCTATTTTTAATATACGTCTTATTATATGTTTAGATATTTTAACATATATACATCAAATCTACACATAATTATTGAATGATAGTCATCAATTTATATTAAGCTAATTAAATGAAATGCAAAAATCTTCTAAATGAAATATTTACAAAATAAAATTTCAAATTAGAATCTCCATTTATTAAAATTATTTATTTGAAAAATATACTCCCTTCATTAGGAAAAAACATTCCTTATTTGACTTTCACATACGTAGTTTAAGAAATTGTTGAAAAATAAAAACTTTATAGTTTGAATTTGTTTTGGAGAAAAAGAAGAGTTGTGAGTCACTTGTTCTTTTTTTAAAAAGTCAATTAATTTTTTGAGACAGACAAAAAAGGAAAAAGTGAAGTCTGTTTTAGGACTTGACAAAAAAGTGTAAAGTTTTGTGTAGAATGTAGAAAGTATATATTTTCAAATTGATTAATCTAGTAATTAAAATTTAATATTAATTAAGTAAAATCAACTTTATGGATCTAATGGTAAATATAATACTCCATATCAATATTGTGACAATAATTAAGTATTGTGACAATAATCAAGTACTACTCATATTTGTTTAAATGTTTGTTGCAAAAAATTAATATTTATTAATGTACCAAAAAAATTATAATTAAATATTCAATCAATACGTATTATACATAATTATATGTATAGTACTCCCTCCGCTCCCCTATATTTGTCCACTTTCATTTTTACACATCATCTAATCCATTTCTTTAATCTATTTTATCTTGTAATTTGTATATTAAAAAATTATAAAAATTATATATTAATAATCTATATGTTAAGACAAATCAAACAAGATCACACATGACTATATTTAGGCTTACACATTGAGAGAATTTGATGAGTCAAAGTGCTTAGATGAACAGTTCCTAAAATCAAATGTGGACAAATACAGGGGTACGGAGGGAGTATCAAATATACACGTATTGTAAATTAGACTTTAATCGTAAATAGGTGGCAGCCAGTGGAGCTTGCACCTAGTGTCCTAGTGGTTGCAGAGGCCTTACGCTGAGCATAGTTGTCTTACATCGCAATTATCAGAAATTGAAATCAAGCTATCTCCAGCTCTTAACATTATTTATCTTTGCCAACTGAGCAACGCCGACTGACATATATGTGCAGTTGACATATTTTGGAAGGGAGGGGGTTCATTTCCAGAAAACTACTCATGGGTACCCCATATTTTGAGAAACTAACTGCCAGGTACCTCACATTTTCAAAATATACTCCGAGATAACTTCTATTTTGAGAAATTAACTATCGGGTACCTCATATTTTTAAAATATATTTCAGAATACCTCCAAATATAGATTAATTTTACGCCATTAATTTTAAGAAATAGGGGTTTAGAATTTTAAAAGTAATCAAGATCTTTTTAATTTGAAGAAAATTGTACTCAATACTTTTAAAATTGAGTACTCAATTTTCTTCAAATTAAAAAGATCTTGGTTTTTTTAAAATTCCAAACCCCTATTTCTTAAAATTAATGGCTTAAAATTAATGTATATTTGGAGGTATCCTGGAGTATATTTTTAAAATGTGAGGTATCTGATAATTAGTTTCTCAAAATAGAGGGTACCTCGGAGTATATTTTAAAAAAGTGAGGTACCCGGTAGTTAGTTTCTCAAAATAGAAGGTACCTCGGAGTATATTTTGAAAATATGAGATACCCGGCAGTTAGTTTCTCAAAATATGGAATACCCAAGGGTAGTTTTTTGGTTCATTTCAGACAATGGAGGGTGGAACATTTGAAAAAGGGGTGGGGTGGGGTGGGGTGGGGTGGGTATAAATGCCATGCCAACCGAAGCAGAAGTAAGGGAACACGAAACCTGAAAATTCTTCGTGAAAGTCGACACTAATAAGAAAAATAATCGTCTCCACTGCGTTTCTTGGGTTTCATTCGTGAAAATGGCATTCTGCGTGTCGGCCAAATTGTTCCCCCCGCATTCAAACCTGCATTTACTCTCTTTCTTTCTCCCTCATTTTCTCATTTAATTTAATCCCCCATTAACCTATGTCCGGATCTGTTTGAAATTCTTCGTGAGTATACGTACTATTTTTCTTTTTTAATTATGAATGCATATAAATAAATAAATCCAATTCAATTCTGTGTTAGTTCTATTTAATTTACCCAGCTTAGCTTACAAATTAAATCAAGATCACAGCGGCGGGTCAATCGAGCTTTCAGCAATGTCCTTCCCACTCTCCCCTTCTCTCCCTAACTTCGATGAACAGGTAATTACTACTCACTCTTTCTCAAAATATTCTTCTCATTTGACTTTTCATGATCTTCTATATTATATTTTGATCATTAATATCTATATTTTCAAAAAGTTTATATTTGAAAATTATGTTTCAAGAGATATATATTAATACTAAATTTATACCATAATATAATTTATTTTTTCATATATTAGAGTCAAAATTTACGAACTTTGACCAAGAAAAGTCAAATGAGAAAAACATTTCCGGACGGAGGAACTATCCAGTTTTTTTTGGATGTTCAGAAAAAGTAAAGTACCTATAATTCTTATTTTCTGACTTTCATGTAAATTAAGAAAAGTGAAGACATTCCGTTGAAATATATGTTAAAGAGAGAATTAATTTAGGAGTACTTCTTTGGTGCAAGTTGGATGCATATTAATTTTGTGGACTTTCTCACATAAATAATCGTTTTTTTACAAAAGAAATTTAATTAAAAAACAAATACATACTCAAATAGTAAAAAAATGCTTATTTTGCTCATATGAAGGTCCATAGTAGATCTTAGGTCCACCATAGAATTTGCCTTAACTTAGACGCCCAATTCATAAAATAAATTTATTTAATAAAATAAATGAGAAGTTTATTTTAAGAGAGGAGAAAATAATGAATTTAAAGCTTATTGTATAATTATTTGAACAATTAAAATAGTCTAACCAATATTTCTTTGTTTAATTTGGTAGGAGGAAACGGCGGGATATGAATTTGCGGTTCGTATCTTTGTTTACACCTCTGTTCTTGGTCGGTTAGTTAGTCACCTCTCACCTCTCTTTTCCTATTTTATTCCCCATGAAACAATAATTAAGTAAATTATTATTTTTCTCAAAATAAAGTAAAATAAAACAAAACAATATTTTTTATTTATCTGTGGGGTTGCAGTGATATTCGTGATGGTGTTGGCGCTGATGCTGAAACTGATTGGATTTATGGACGACGGCGGAGGAGGAGGAGGAGACGGCGGCGCGACGGAGAGCAGCCGGCTGCTCCCGAAGGAGGCGATTCCGATCGTTTACGGGGCGTGTGGCGGCGGGGAGGGGGAGGACGACGCGGAGGCCGGGGACTGCGGCGGCGGCGGCCGGAGCAACTCGCCGGAGGAGTTGTACGAGGGGAATAAGATATGTGCGATTTGCTATGACCATAAACGCTGCTGCTTCTTTGTTCCATGTGGTCACTTTGCCACTTGCTTACATTGTGCCAAGAGGTTTGCCCTCCTCACTTCTTTCCCATTTCAACACTTGGAAAATAATTTCTTTTGGTGGGTACAAACTTTAATTAGTGTCCCAAAATAATTGACTTCATTTCTGTTTATTTATGTGTTTTTTTAATGATTACGCGTTTTCGATGTAATTTTGAAATATTTAATTCATATTTTTTTATTCGTATGCAAATTTATAAATAAAATAATTTTTAAAGATTAAAATTTTGCACATTTTTTTTTAAAATAAGGATCATTTTCGGGCTTAACTAAGCATCGTAAATGTTCCAAAAGAGGGCAATGCAGTGATAGCCAAAATAACAAAGCACTGTAGGCCTAATTGAAAAGAACCAAAGTGTACAAAATGTCTTTTTGAAATGATGGGAAATTCAAAATTTAGAATCATTTTGAATATTTTTTTATTTTTTATTTAGAAAATGTAGGTATATAGGAATAATTCACCAAATTTAATAATTGTAGGCATGCAATAATTTATTTAACATGTTATTATTGTGATAAATAATGTGGGGGGGGGGGGAGCAGGATAAGTGAAGGAGAAGCCAAGATTTGTCCATTTTGCAGAACAGACATTCACATGATAAGAAGGTTGTTCAGTCTGTGAACCCCACCTACATTTGGCATGGATGGATGGATGGATGTCCTTTCATTTCTTTGTATATTCAATTTGTATATTTCCAATCTTTACAAGAACTGAGGTTCTTCTATTTTTTCTTGTACTAACAAATATAGTTATCTATGTTGAAAAAAAAAGTTACATTCTCCCTCCATTGAAACTTTCATGGGTTAACATTCAGACTCCGTTATTTAACCTTAAATTGGAATTGAAAACTTTAATTCCAATTCTACTTGGTAGCATAAAAAAATATGTGGAATTGGAATTGAATTCTAATTCCAAATCTTCCGATTTTAAGATTTGAAAGTTAGATTGTTCTCTATAACTTATTCTTATTGAAATCGTATCAGATCAAATCAAATCAGAAATAATTTTAAATATAACCACAATATGACCAAAACTTATTTCAATCGGACCCTAACCAATCAGATCAAATAAAGAGAACAAGCCCAGAGTTAAATTAAATGACAGACATACTCTTAGTAAAGTATTCTTATGAAAAAAAATTGAAATTGAAATGTGCAAATTGATTATGGTTTGTGAATGTTTGTAATTTGTATTACTGAACACAAGAATAGGCTGCAGCAAAGATTCAGACAAGAGGCAGACAGCATTTTGCTAAGCTAAGTAACATTTTACAACAAATGGGGAATTATGGGGCGGCTATGGCCATTGGCCAGGAGGATCAGAAAACCATTCATTAGCCACTCAACTATCTTTACCCTTGCTACTTCCTCCATAAGAAGAGAGGAAGTAAGTATTCTGATTCTTCTGCAGAAATCTGCAACAACAAAAAAAACACGAAAAAATGCCGCGTTTTTCAAGATTCAGCATATACATGATATTCCAAGTGCTTCTTGTTTCTTATAAGAATAAAGAGGTGCAGAAATGAGAGGGGGGGTTACTTGAGGAAATCCAGCAATATCTGCTGCAAGCTAGTTAATGTCTCCTCTTCCATCTTCACACAAGCAAGTAGCTCAGGCAACTTGACTGTAAACACCTCCAAACAAGGATAAGATTGGTTTTAAAATTCTGCTGGTCATCATGAATGAACATACACACCCACCCCCAAAAACAAAAATAAAAAATAAAGTATTATAGAGTATTATGATAAGGAATAGTTTCGTGAACCTAGAAAACATACCAAATAGGCGCAACAGATGTTCGGCACCGTATACACTAGATGGAGAGACATTTTTATCTGAGAGTACGTCGTGATATTGTTGGCGCTCCTTTTTGTACAAGAGTATAACGGGCAATGCTTTGTCAAAATATGACCTTATGCCATTGAGAATTTCTCCGACTGAGTCCGCCATCCTGCATCAATATATACACAAAGGAGAGACGAGTCACCCAGGGGTGCTACTTAGGGAAATATACTACTCGTACAACACACAAGTAGGTATATGGGCCTTTTCTCACAGAGAACGGTCTTTTTCTCACAGAGGAATTTGTTGGGTTTGAATGAAAATCCCGAGGTTGGTTTGTAAAGTGTGGGCTTTATAGGGTTTTGGCAAGGAAGACTTTAGAAGGGTTATTCTATATCTTGGTGTGTGTGTGTGTGTATGAGATTTTATACTCTTGGACAATCAAGCAGCCTCTAGCAACTTAAGAGTTCCTTATCTATATTCCTTGTAATGTAACCAATGTGCCAGGGTTCAAACATCAAACAGACTGCGCCTTATAAATGGAACTATTGGGCTCAAATAGAAACTTTTTGTTGTTCCCACCTCTCACAATGGACCTCTCTGGTTATTGACATGACCATCTACCCAGATATTTATTAGAAAACATATTACTCAATCAACATGAAAACATCTCCATAAATTTCAGTTCAGCAATTACGTAAAATTAAAAAGCAATAGAAAGCGATGCTCACGTGACATCCTTTTTTGACCGGAGTTCAAGATACTTTGTCAGTATATTATCAACACTGGGAGACCGTGGAAGCTTTACAAGCTGTGAGAAAATAATATAAAAGTTTAAGTCCATATGGGTATGCCATTTAAATTCCAAACAGAAACTTAAATGCCAAAAACAAGTTGCATACTTGGATTTTAGACGCTCTACAAAATCTATATAAGGGACAAAAAAGACAATGAGTTACAAGACAAACAGATTATGTAAGCAGCATAGCTGGCTGCTCAATCCTTTACGTGAACTCTCAGACTGTTTGTAATCAGTACTCCCTTCTACATTTGTATGGAGTAGTGGAGTACTACAGAAGATCAAAAACAAAGAAAACGACATACCAGATTCTTCTTACTGATAAACTCCCAGTCATCAACAAGTTGCTTCTTTAAAGTTGATGGAATTTGAATCTTGATGTGCTTCTCGGTAGCTGCATTGTCCTATTACGACAAGCCATTGATTCCAAAGGATAAGTAGTGCTATCAAAGACAACTGATGAACTAGAATCTTGCCTCCCCCCCCCCCACCCACCGCCCTCCATGTACAAAAAAATAAGGTGAGGGTGGCGGCCTCAATATGGAATATTATGGATTTTTGAAATTCTGTCTTCAGAATTTGTGGGCTCTATTAAATTTTTGGCGTCTTAAATTCAGAATTCTACGGGTTGGGAAAATTTACGAGTGTTTTCAGTTTCATAAGCGTGCGATGGATTCTATTGAATGATACTTCCCCTGGTTCTTAATTCAAGAAATCATTTACTTTCATCATTCATTCTTTTTTTTTGGGTGGGGTGGGGGGTGGGGTGGGAAAAAATTAATTAGATTACTTAATATCACTTCAATTTATAATTTCTGGTCAAACAATGTTCCCTGCCTCTCTATAAACCGACATAATAGTAATACACATCATATAATATACAGTGTAATTAAGAGACTTAGTTTCAAACCTTAATTTATTCACACAAAAAAGAAGTCAACTATACCTTAAATTACAGACCAAATGGAATAGGTTTCTATGGATTTCTCCTGATAACCTAAAAACGCAATAAAAACATTCTTACAAAAATACAAGCTCTCTTACCCTCATTCTCATTGACTTTGGATTTTTTCAAGTTTGTCTTAGAAACCTGAATAATATATAAAATTTCATTCTCCTACGGAGGGTGACTTAGTTTTTCCTTGCTAGAAATACTTTTCATTAGTCATATTGCATTCAATTGTCAATATCCAATACAAACAACCCAGTGTAAGTGGTGGACTGGTGGTGTACGCAGCCCTTCAGAAAAACTTGTAACATTATTATTGTCATATAAAACTGTAGATTTAATTTTATGTCCTTGAAGTTCTAATTGTCAAAGTTTTTTAAAATTATAACTATGTGTTGAAAAATAACGTGATAACCTCAGTTTAACTTTTTTAACAAGAGGTAAAAAGACAATATGCAATTTTCTAATTAACGCTGTGTTTGTGTTGCATTAATTTATATAATTTATTAAGGATACATGATTTTAAAGTAGATACTAGTAATTTTAAAAATTTATATTGTAGACTTTGAATAAAACAAATCAAATTTATACAAGTGTTTGAATTTCATATTGAGGACACCTTCCTAAAAGTAAAAGCTTAGGATGATGAGCTAGGTCTGTTGGGGTTGCTTATATCCTTTTTCTACTGGGTGGGTTGGAGGCTGGGGTGGGGGGAGGGGGATAAAATTGGTCAAATACTCAAATAAGACAAAGTGTATGCAAAAAGTGTATCTTCTATAAATAAGTAAAATTTAAAATAGAACTAGACCTCTGCTGCTGAATCAGCCTTTCTCTTTTTCCCTTTGGAAACTGCAGCAGAAGATTCAGTTGATCAGATATCTCTTTGAACCAGGGATGAATATGAACAAGATTTACAGATAGTTGAACATTTTGCATATCGTTATAGTGAAAATTTTTGTTTACTTGCAAATATTATTCATAGGGTGTCGGAAATCTTTATGTGAGATGAAAGTTCCATGCCTCCATGATTGGAGAAAGAAGACAAACTCGATAAGGTATCAGAAGGAACAGTGAAGACGGTTTAAAATGGATAATTAGAGCATGAAACAATCATCTACAAGGCAACCACCAGCCTTGGAATGATTAAGATGACAGAACTAATGGTAGTGGAAATTCTAGCAATTGCAGGAGAGCATGTTTTAGTTGAACACTTAGTAAATTACAGCTTTATACGTTTATTGAAAATCTATTTAGCCAATCTGAAAATGACATACCATTGGTCTTTGTTTCCTCTTTATCCACGTTCAGATCTGCAAAACCAAGCATGACAAATACATCAAGCATATAAGTATGCAAGTAATCAGTTTCACTCAACAGTCATATGATTGCTATCTCATTATGCAAATCAATTGCGGGAAGCATGGAAAATTCTAAATGATTAAACCATCAATAAGGTGATGCGAGCTTCACAACTTTTTATAATGGCAATCAAAGGGGGAATTTAAATTCTATTTCAGAAAGGATTCCAAAAGGACTACGACATCAAATCATAATTAAATGATGCAGAATGGGAAAATAAAACATACCATTGTTTTTTGTATCATCTTTCTCAACTCTCAGATCTGTCAAATTCAAGCACAATGAATTCACATTTCACAGTACTAGATAAAAAATGGATTTGGTTTCCAAAAACTATGCCATGAAGTGTTTGACAAAACTGCTAATCTGAACGACTAGGTAAAGCATTTTTGTTTGCAAATTGAAATTTAATAGTACAAAGTAGCAAAAGCAGCACATGAAGCAGTTGTAGTTATTGTAGTTTGCCAGAGATTCAAAATTTTCTCAAAGTTGAACAGTTGAGATTATACCAGCTAAGTTTCTAGGTTTTGTTTGCGATGAACGTCCTAATTTTGGATTCTTTTCCACTCCTTGTTTCTTGTCAAGTTCCTGCTGCTTCATGATATTCTCGTCAGTAAATTTCATCAAACGGTCAGTGCCTACCCACTCATCCCAACTGCGGCAAGATAACTATGCTTCAATAACTAGTCTCATATACCAGTAGTACATTTTGCAAAGACTCCAGATTCATTGCAACCTTTAAAATCATAACCAAAATGGTAGTCTAGAGACTGTTGCAGAACCAAAAACTGAAAACCCTTCCAAGTTAGATGTGATTTACTTACTTCTTGTTCCAACCCTGCAAGATTGAGACAAAACTTATTAAATGATGGAAACTGGATCAAGATTATGAATAGAAATGCTATAGATTACTATAGTTTTTGTTTGACTTCCTGCGAAGGAAGAAGGGTGTGATGGGTGATGATTGAAAGATGTTAACAGCACTCACCAAGTAATGAACAAAATATCTCCATTCATTCTCCCTAAGCTCAGATTTTTGGACCTTCAAATTCAGTAGCAAAACACATCACTAGATAGAAAACATACAGCAAAACAGAAGCATACAGAATGTACGCAAATCACTAGGCAAGGGCAAGCTAGGAATTGTCTCATCAAAGTTACAAATTAATGAAGACATTCTTCCACTACATTTGTTTCCAACAATTTTTTTACCTCGAGCAACTGAAAATGGATACCATTACTAAGTTCGTGCATTTCTGAGTTTCAGAATTTCGTAATAATGGACTTAGGTTTTGGGATGCCTATCCTGGAAAACACTCGTTATTTTATCCATGTAAGAATCATAACTGACATATAGAATAGAAGTACTATGCTTGGTTCATCACATTTTTGATTGAACGACATCGGGATTGCAATTGTGAACTAATTAAACCTAGCTACAGCACAACACATAATCATATTGAAATTTCATGAAATTACAGTAAATCTCCGTGTGATTCTCCACGAATATACCTTCAATCTACGCAGTGAAAAGAAAAGCGATTGAGAAGCTTGCCTTAGCTTTGTAGATGCGGGGGCCATGGTAAGCGAGGACCTTTTCCCCTTCAGAGTAGAGACTGGAATTCGAGGCCGGGACGTCGCCGGAGGAATGGTCGCTATCAGTGGCGAATTCGTCCTTGGAAGTCACCATTTCTCTCCCAGCTTCACATACACATCCTCCAACCGATGATCTTTCTGTAAATGGTTGCAGAGAAACTGATGAGATCTGCTTGATCTGGATTTGTGCTGCACCGCTATAAATCTCAAGTTATCAACCAAAAAATTCCATTCCCTCCTCCAACGGGCGCTCCGAATACAAGATCCCGGACAGATCTAACCTATGGGCCCCTGTAAGAGGTTGGAGACAGTTTCATTTCTTGATTTGCTGAGGCACTAGGCCTTCCAGTTCCTGTTCCAGAACCAGCTGTTCAGGTACCGCTGACATGAGGGGTATAGTTCCTGAGCCGGTTCTAGAATAGGTGGTTTTGGCTCGGCTTTTGAGCCGGTTCATAATTATTATTTTTAATTTTACAGTAATATTTTAATATATAAATCTAATATTCTAATGAGTAAATTTCATAAATAGTCTCTAATTATATGTAGTTTTTCATATTTAGTCTCCAATTATAAAGTATTTCATAAATCAGTCCTGAATTTTTAAAAAATATTTCACAAATACTCCTTCCGTCCCCAATTTGATTACAAATTACGGGTAACGGAGTAAAATTTTCTACTTTTTGAAATCATATTATTTACAAATTGATATATCAATAAGATTTAAAAATTACATATTAAAAAACTACGTCAAAAGTATTTTATCAAATACTTAATGAAATCGCGTAAACAAACAAAAGTTATCGAGAGGAGAGAGAAAAAAAATTGTAATCTATTTAGAGACGGAGGGAGTAGCTTTTTTTTATCAAATATGACAAAATATTTTAAGTAAATTCTCAAAATGGCCCTTTTCATAAGGTTTTTCCCCATAGTCATCCTCAATAAACAAAAATTACTAACATGGTCCATTATAATTGAGATGTGTTTTTCTAAATGGTCTTTTATCAAAAATGCTTCTTAAATGACAAAAAATAGAGGGTATTTTTTTTATCTTTATTATTTAAACTATGAATAATTCTTCAAAATGAATTTTTTTTTTCAATTAAGTGGGAGGCTACTAGAACAAGGGACCCACCTCGAGTAGGCTCATGGACTCCATTTCAAAAAAATGATTACTTAAAAATTATCAATTTGGAAAAATATTTAATTATAAAGGAGTATTTCGATAATATACTTTACATAGATGATATAAAATATCAAAATACCTTCTAATTGACTGACATTTAATATACATTTTAGGCAATAGACCATTTAATGAATAAATATAAATTATAAAGGACCATATTGGTAATTATTGTTTATTAGTAGCTCCCACTTAATTTAAAAAAAATATTTGAGAACTTATTCATAGTTTAGATAATAAAAAACATCAAAATACCCCACATTTAACTATCATTTAATAGGCTTTTTTATAACAGATTATTTAGGAAACGCATCTCAATTATAAAGGACCGTGTTAGTAATGTTTGCTTATTGAGGATTACTTTGGGAAAACACCTTATTACAAATGATCATTTTGAGAATTTACTCAAAATATTTTGTCATATTTGGTGAAAAGGATTATTTGTAAAACAATTTTCAAAAATTGAGGAATGTAAATGGAATATCTTATAGTTGGGGACTAAATTTGGATACATGTATTTAAAGACTATTTATGGAATTGACTCTATTCTAATATATGAATAAAATAGAATGTAAAATAAAATTATAAATTTTTATAAATTCTAATAATGTAGTTATTATTTATATGAAGAATGTTAAAAATATTACAACTACATTTATTATCTTGACGGTTAAAAAAACGTAGAGAAACCCTCGAAGGAGCTTATAAAACGCTCACATAAAAAATTAATTATACTTCCCTCCGTGGTTACATCCATGTAATTTTGTGTATGAATGTTGTAGCCCGCCTCTTGCGCTCGACGCCTTGCCAAGAGACAATCTCGGTTGCAAACAAGTGTCTCAAATGATTCAGCGCTAAGACAGCTTCGGTAGTCAGTTATAATATTACCGCTAGAACTGAACTCTTGCTCCACATCTATGGTTGAAACCGGCATATAACACTTGTCTGGCTAGCATTCTGAGTGACGGGAACATGTGTTCATTCCGCTTCTACCATTCGAGGATCTCGAACTCGGTATCGTTATCTTCGTCGTAGTCACATGGAACGCATTGGTACATTACAAGTTTGTTGTGTGAACTTACACTTGTATCACTTTTACTCATCGACGAAGCATTACGCTTACCTTTTTCCGCCAAGAGGCCACTGACAATCCCTTTAAAAAAATTTATCTTTAGGACAAGAGGAGCTGCTCTTTCTTGAATTTCTTCTCGGGGAGTACTGTATGTAACTTGAAATTGTTTAAATAAGGACTTAAAAATATCAATAGCATTATCTCTTTTTTGTCCATTCTACTAATTGGTCAGTAAAATAATTATTTTCATCTAAAAAACAACTACGGAGTATAATAATACTCAATAAGAATTTTATAATTCTCAATCTTAAACTGTGGATCACAAATAATACCAATTTTATAAATATATAAATAAGAGGCACACCATTTATCCTTTATAAGATATACATGAGGGTACAAATTTTGATTAGATAAACTTGTAAGAAAACATGTAGCAATTGTAATACACTAAGAAAAAAATATGTTTGTCGTAGGTTTATAAACATATGAGAAAGTAAGAGTGACATTATTAGAAACCTCTAACACGTTTTTCAATTTTTCTACAATCATAAAGCTTATTAAAATTGATAAAATGATTAAGTTCAAACCTGAGAAATGAAAAAAAAATTCTTCTTTATAACGCACGCTTTGGTCAATCAACTTATATGTACTATTCAATCTAATCGTAATATTCTTAACAAATGCTGTTGGTTTTTTATCTTTAGATTTACTGGAAGACTTTCATGTTTGAGAGTGAAGACAACTACCCCAAATTAATTTAAAACTAGCTTTAATGTTAGTCAAGATTCTCTCTATATGTGTTAATCCATGTTGTACATACAAATTTAGAATATCCCATGCACACCTTTGGTGTAAAAATCTACTCATGACAGTGCTAGGGTGACAAAGTTTTTTAAGTCTAGGAATGATGGTAGTATTATTAGTAGTATTATCAAAACCAAATGCAAACACTAACTTAAAAATGACGTTATCATGAGGTCTAAATATCATTTTTAACGTTGAGTTCAAGCGAACACAAGTCATTAGTGTTCCTTTATGGTTTTCTAGCAATAATAATTTGTAAAGTTTCATAGCAATAATAACAATCATAAATGAAACCACATGCTATGAACGATTCTAAGGAATCTAACGTTAGATTTGAGTATGGGGTACATACCTTAGATTTGACGAAACGAGGCGAATGCAATGGTGTAATTTGCAATTCCCGTCACCCTCGTCATAGCTATATCAGTCTCTGTTTTTTGGCACATCTCCTTCGTCAAATGTCGAAATTGTAAACCGTTTTAACTAGTGGTTACATAAGACGTGGAGCTACAATTTTTGCTTTCAAAGTTTATCAAAATAATGTATAGAAGGTGATAATTACCGTCCAAATCAGCTGAAGTTTCTGCCCAAGAAAGTTCAACATCATCTTCAAACTTGATGATTCCAACGCCCAACCCGAGAGCTTCTTCTCCTTCTTCTTTGAGTTGTTTTGACCCCTCATCTAGGTGTAGGTATAACGGGTATCACAAGGGCGTTAGAATGAGTATTATATTGATAGGAGTGAAGTCTAGATTCTTACCTTGAGTTTTCTTGTAAAACTCCATTAATTGAGAAAGTAAACTTAGTGAGGGAGATGACCACTTTGCAGGAACTTTCTTTAAGTGTGAGAATAAAGAATGAAGGGATTGAGACTCTTACTATTGAGGAAATAGAAGGGAAATGTTAGTTAGTCTCACATCTTCATCAACATCAATAGCTAGACTCCAAATCAAATGGAATGGAAGTGTGGGATGTTGGGTACTAACCTAGCACGGAGGTGATGCTTGAGGTGCAAAGTATGGGAACGGTATTTGAGTTGATTTGGCAGGGGATATTGCTGATTTGGAATGAAATATTTTAAGGATTTGATGAAATCTCTGTTCTAGAAGAAATACTTTATCTTTTTGGGTTTTGGGTTATTTTCCAACCAAAGTCCGATTTCGAATGATCGTGTTTTTGAACTCAGAAAAATAAATACATTTTAAAAATGTATTAAAATATTTATCCAAATATTTTTATTTTTCAGGCCACCGGGGCCCACATTGTCAAAATTGGTAGTTTGATACTTAATTCTTTTAAAGCGGTTTTCATGACGTTACAAGAAGAGAGTTTTAGGATTTAGAGAAATTATTCTTTCTGATAGATATAATGATGATAAAAAGCCTACATGTTTATTTTTTGGAGATAGATAAACTCTAATTCTAACCCCAAAATCCTAATCTTGTCGGTTCAAGAAATGCATCGAGGTAAAGAACCGAAAAGAAACCCTCGAAGGAGCTTATAATTTCGCTCGAAAATAAAAACTATATTACATTAAACATTATCACTTTGATCTGTAATGCGGGTCATGGGAGGTGTAAAACCTTATGCATGTCTTTGCGAGCTTTACACATGGCTACCAATGGTTGGGCTTTGGGCATGGTGAGCCCTTTGCCTTCATCTAGATCAATTGCCTCTTCTGTGATCCTCTTCCACTCAAAGCATTGTATCAATGATGCCAAGACAAGAGCTATGATGCGTTTGGCTAGTCCAGCACCAGGGCATGACCTTCTTCCCATCCCAAATGGCATAACTATTAGCCTTTGTGATGCTACTAATGATGATGATGAATCAACTTCCCAACCCTCAAATCTTTCGGGTACGAAGCTTGTTGGATCGTCATTCCAAAGATTCGGATCCCGATGGATAGCAAAAGCATTGACAAGCAACATTGTACCACTTGAAATGTCATAGCCACCAACCTTACAAGCCTCAGATGAATAATGTGGCAACAATAATGGTGCTGGTGGAAAGAGGCGCAGAGTTTCAGACACAATGCACTGAAGGTAATGCAGTTGAGGCAAATCTGATTCATTCACCAAGCGCTCAAAACCCACAACTCTGTCTAGCTCTTCTCTTGCTTTTCTCATCACTTTGGGATGGTTGAGTAATGCTGTCATTCCCCACTCCATTGACATAGATGATGTCTCAGTACCAGCAATGATCATATTCTGCACTTAAGAAGCTGAGGGTTATACTGAATTTTTTGTATTTTTATGATAATATAAAAAAAGTTACGGAGTATCTTCTATTTATACGAGATGCTTATAAACAAGATCGTCTTTCCACACCATACACTACATACCCAGATGTAAGGGTGGGCAAGAATCTCGATCTCATTGTTCAGACTCAAAATATTCCAGTCATTTCCCTATCATGTCTCATTTTGTTTGGGATGACAACATTTTAACCCAATCTCGTTCTGAACCGTTTTAAAAAAAGAATGAACCCGGGACACATACTATTTTTTCGTTCTATCCCGTTGTCCCGCATATATTTATATATCTATCTATTTATTCTTCCCAAAGATAAATACAAATAAATGTCTAGATTCAGAGTTAGATCTTCTCATTTCACGTTACAAGGTTTGACTAGCTTTATTTTTAATTTAACTTATTTGATTATAGATGTAAAATTTAAAAATAAAATTTTAAATAGAATGAGATAAAATTTTAATAGTTTTCAATATGATAAATATAATGAAACAATTTTTGTACTAATATCAAATACAAATTTTATTTAATTGCTAGTCAAATTATTCAATTTGACAAAAAAATCAAATTACACGAACCGTTTGAGACAAAAGTGGTAATAAGACAATCCCGGCAAAAGGTAAAAACCACTCTAACACAATTATTTATCTTGCAAGAACTTGTAGTCTTGTAGGTCCAAATGTTAAAAAAAAAATAACCGTGCACTTAACTTTTTGGTGAAGACTACGAGGATACTCCGTATTTTTCAGCACTAATATCTATTTTTCCGGCGAATAATATGTTTGTCTTATGTTCTAAATTCTAATCATCCTATTATTTGGTACTTTTAAGTTTTCTTTTTCTTCAATTACAATTGACTACAAAAGGAACATTTTTTGTGTATTACATATTTTTGTCAAATGCAAATAAAAAGAAAACATCAAATTGCAAACGGAGGATCTACAAGTTATTAGTATCTCAAACTAATTTTGAATTCAAAATGAGAATGAAAAATATCCCTTCGTCGTACATCTTTCTTTCTAGTTTGATTTTTATGTTTGATGTTTTAAAATTTGACAATTACATTGAATTGTGATATAAATTTTTATATCAATAGATTCATTTCGAAAGATAATTTTAAAATATCATATTTCTATGTTTTGTATCTATATAAAAATAGAAATATTAACACTGTGTGTTTGGTTCAAGGAATTTGAAAGGGAGAGAAAAGAGAATAGGATGGAAAATAATTTTTCTTGTTTGGTCAGAGAGAAAAAGAAAAAGAAAATAAGAAATAAAAAAAATTAGAAGACTAATATTACTAAGAGGAGAGAAAATTAAATTCTTCCCATTTTAAGAAAATGAGAGATTCATTTGTTTTTTTTCTATCCAAATTCTTCCAACCAAACATAATGTAAAGATTAAAGTATTGCATTAAAAAACATAAATAATTAAATAGAATGAAAGATATAAGTCAAAGATGTATGCTCAATAATTTTGGATAGTGGGAGTTGGGCTAATAGCACGGTACCTCACGTGGTTTACAAAGCACCACCAACGCCCTTCTCTTTGGGTTTTCAAAATTTATTTTCAAAATTTATAGTTTCAATCACAAAGAAGGGCATAAATATTACTCTAAGTTTAAAAATAGATAATCACAAAGAAGGGCATAAATATTACTCTAAGTTTAAAAATAGATTTGGGAGCATGCATCCACCGTTTAAAAATCATATTCCTCCGTCTAAGAAAGAATGTCACGGTTACTATTTTAGCCTCTCAATAACTTTTGTTTGTTTACTCGTTCTGATTGACCATTTGATAAAATAAAACATTTCTGTCGCATTTTGTTTTGTAAAACTTTTCATATACTTTTGAATGATGTAATTTTTACGTAGTAGTTTTTATTATTCTACTAATTTGAAAATATAATGATTTTAAAAAAAATGATATTTTACACGTCGTTCGAAATATTACAAATAATTTGGTACGGAGTGATTATAATTTTACAAATAATTTAAAAAAAATTGGTACTTTTGATATTGTGTTTGTAAACCAACCACATGTGAATAATGTACCTACATTAATAAGGCCCTTGATGGCGAGATCCGTGTAGAAGTGTGGCTCCGATTGTTGCAGCGACAATAAGTGCCCAATCATTGTGCTCTCCGCCGGCGTCTCTTCCCGCCGGTAATCGTCTATCAGTTTCTGCAAGAAATCGTCCAGTCTCTCTCCGAGCGCCGCCAGCCTCTTCTTCACCCCTCTCCAATCCAACCACCTCAGAAGGGGAAAAAAATCCTCCGGATTCGAAACGTCACCCACCTCCAACACCTCTTTAATCAGCTCCCGGACGGCCACCGATTCCCGACTCTCCATGTCGCCGGCGCAAAACCTCTTCCCGGCGATCATCCGTACCATCAAATTGAAAGTCAATTGGGAGAATCTCGGCCTCAGCTCCACCTGGTGAAACCCATTTTTCGGATCTGGACCGAGGAGGCTCTTCAACAGGAGCTCGATTTCGTCAAGTCGGATCGGGAGGGAGGCGTTGAGGCGGGCGGTGGATAACACTTCTTCCGCGGCGAGGCGGCGGAGGCGGCGCCACCGGTCGCCGTGCGGGAGCGCGACCATGGTGCTCTGGTTGTACCCTGTGTACTCGCCGGCGAGATTGAAGGGCCGGTTGTTGAAAACGGCGTCGTTTGTGGTGAAGCATTCCTCCGCCAGCGGCAGAGACGAGACGACGGCGACCAAGCGGCTACCCAATTTGAGGGAGAAGATGGGGCCGTGTTTTTGGGAGAGACGGTGGAGGGTGCGATGAAGCGGGAGCCGAAGGAGGTGGAGGTGGCCGATGATGGGAAGGGGAGGCACCGGGTACGGCGGACGACGCCGCCGTCGTGCGATTGTGTGAATTAGAAGAAAGATTGAAAGTGGAATGACCAAAAACACTGTAAGCACGGTGCTCTCCATGTTCCCTCTTTTATGGGAAAAAAAAAACATGCATGGTTACCCTTTATACTCCTGGATCAGCCAATTTCTTAATGTCTAACTCCTCAACCCAAAAAGAAAAAAGACTCCTCTCGAAAAATTTGATGTAGAAATAAAAAAATATAACTTATATATTAAAAAAATACGACAAAAATTTTTAAAAACAAAAAGTGACGTGAGTATTTTATTTTATCAAATAACGAATGAAATGTAAAAATAAATAAAAGTTTCCATGATGGTGAAGAATGACAATCTTTTCATGACATGGTATCAGACTCTTGTTGACTTAGCAGTCACGGATTCGAAGCTCATCGCTACTCAGTTTTAAAAATTTTAAAGTTTTACGTGCAAAACTAAAAAAAACTATGCATACACGTGAAGGGACATGTTAGAATATAAAAACATTTCCTAGATTACAACAACACGTTATATCTCATCTTTATATTTATATTTTTCCCTAAATATCATTACAGATATCACAAATACAAAATACATAATACAATGTACTCCCTCCGTCCCCAATTTAATTACAAATTGCGGGTTGCAAAGTAACATTTTCTGCTTTTTGAAATCATTTTATTTACAAATTGGTATATCAATAAGATATAAAAATTACATATTAAAAACTATGTCAAAAATTCTACAAAATAAGACGTG